TAGATGTCTCACTCGTTGTCAACACTTTGTGTTGGCTTTGAATTCAATGCAAATATTATCACATGTTTTGCGACAGAAATACAATTCATTCAAACAATCACTTCATTTGATCCCAAGATATGACACACGAAATGAAACACTTGAAGACATCACTCGAGACCACATATGGCTGTGAAAATGAAGACCAAAAAAGACATCAGGTTTTTGTGAAACATTTTACTATTTATTGAGTTTTAATAATTTTGTCTCACATTTTAGCCAAAGATTTACGCGAAGAACTCAATGGACAGATTCGGTGATGATTTGTGTGCACTTCTCTTGTCTTATCTCTCATTTGAAGATCGGTTTCAATGCGAATGTGTGTCCAAACAGTTCCAGAGGACAGTCTTCGAGAGTGTTGTGGACATCACTCTTAGCGACCGATTTATACAGCGATTACTGAAAGAGAAAAGAAGTGATACCGAAATGTAGGACAGATTCGGTGATGATTTGTGTGCACTTCTCTTGTCTTATCTCTCATTTGAAGATCGGTTTCAATGCGAATGTGTGTCCAAACAGTTCCAGAGGACAGTCTTCGGGAGTGTTGTGGACATCACTCTTAGCGACCGATTTATACAGAGATTACTGAATGCCAAGAAAAGTGATACCGAAATGTTGGCTATAATTGCCGTGAAGTGTGCGAAGATTCAGACTATTGACTGCCGAGGAATAACTAAAGACTACGAGAAACGCATTCCCGAAGTGTTGGGTATATTGAGACAGTATTGCCGTCACTTACGGGACATTTACTGCGATTTGAGTGCGAATAGCCGTCAAATGATGGCCACATTTGGACCACTGGTCACACGAATCGATGCCATAAACTCGTATAACGACAGCCAAGCGCTCACTCATTGCCACCGATTGTCACAATTAAGGATCAATTCATTTAATGACATCTTTTACATAATTTACGACAAATTGTTTGTCAAAAATGTGCATAAAATAGTGTTTAGAAAACACGCCGCCTATGAGTACCACCGCTGGACTTCATTCGTGGCACAGAATCAGTGCCTCCAAAGTCTGGCCATAAAGTTGTCTTATATTAGACCTGAAGAGTTAAAGAAACTGTCGGTACAATTGTCACGATTACCACAATTACGGGAACTGACACTCAGTTTGAATTTATCGCACGGCCAGACATCGGCGGCTGTGACCGACTCTATGCGTACAATTGGCGTGAATTGCTAACAATTGCAACGATTGTCACTCCAATTGTCCGCACAATCGGTGCTCAATATATCGTTGGATTGGTTGAGATTTTATGGCCCATTAAGACAGTTATGTTTAGAGATCTATGCCGTCATCGATGAGCGAGTGTTGGAACCGTTGAGACACTGCAAGAGATTAACGCATTTAGACATCTATTTAAAGAAAATAAACACAAATGTGTTGAAAGATTTGTATCAATACTGTCCACGACTTCACTATCTATTCATTCGTGACTTGAATGACATTATAGACACCGAGTGTTTGTCACACCTCTCAAGACTACCGGCGCTGCAAATGCTTGTCATTGAAACCCATAACAACATTACTACCAGTGATAATGATTTGAATGCTGTGTTGTCTTCGAGTCTTAAACTCAAGACAATTGAAATCCGTGTAAACTATGAGAAGAAGTTTTATTCAAAGTAAAAATGTGGCAAATATTTAGTGTTTTATTATTAAAATAATTAAATAATGTCTAAATTTTGCGTTTATTTCATACATGTCTTTTATTTAATGCATATTTTTACTAATAATGTGATAAAAATGTAATATTAATCGCAATTAATGTCATTTATAAATTTAATTAAATATTAAAATAATTGTTTAAATGTTTAGACCGTGCGTTTATTTCAGACATGACTTAAGGCAGTAAATATAATGTAGTTTATAAATAAATACATTTATATGATTAAACAATTTTGCATTAATTTTTGTTAAGAATTTATTTCATTTAATTTTGTTATAAAAATGTATTATTTTTAATATAGTATTGAAATTTGAAATATATATAATTATTTAATTAAATCTTAATTTAAAACCCAATTAAACACTCATTGAAAGTGTGGGCAAAAAGTGATGCAAAAAGTAATGAAAATATTTGTGAAGAGATGTCAGACGTGTTGTCAGTCTTTGTGTTGGTTTTCATTGAATGTAAATATTTTTGTGACATTTAATTGCGTTTCAAAATAAAAACACAATTCATTCATACAATCACTTCATTTGATCCCAAGATATGACACAACAGATGAAACACTTGAAGACATCACTCGAGACCAGAGTTGACGGCGAAGATGAAGACGAAGAACGACAGGTTTTTGTAAAACATTTTACTCTTAATTGAGTTTTAATTGTTTTTGTCTCACATTTTAGCCAAAGATTTACGCGAAGAACTCAATGGACAGATTCGGTGATGATTTGTGTGAACTTCTCTTGTCTTATCTCTCATTTGAAGACGCCAAAGTTACGCTTACACACAGGTTTGTCAAGGTCTCCTGTCAGAAGCTCTCACAACACCTGTAGTGAGAATCGCTGGCTAAATATGTCGCTAATGACTTTCTCTTTTCTTCACTATGGCTTTACATGGCCACATTTGCGATAAAGTGTCCGAATATTCAGATCATTGACTGTCGAGGAATAACCAGAAACTACGAGAATCGCGTTCCCGAAGTGTTGGGTATATTAAGAGACTATTGCCGTCATTTGCGGGACATTTATTGCGGTTTGTGGCCAAACAGAGGGCAAAGCATCGGTCCATTGGGACCACTGGTCACACGACTCGAGAACATTAACTCCTTTAGTGACAGCAAAACGGTCACTCAATGCCACCGATTGTCACACTTATGGGTCCATTCGTTTGATGACATTTTTGACAGCTAAATATTGGTTTGAAAACAGTAGTTAAACGCAGTTAAACACAACCTTAACGTATTTCTGATATTATTGGTGGCTAACAGAGGTAAGCACCGTGTCTTAGTCAGCGAAGTTTCAGACCGGTATTTCTTATGTTATATGAGATCCGAAGAGTCTTTGATGGAACTGTCGGTACAATTATCACGATTATTACAATTACGGGAACTGACACTCGGGTTGAGGGTAATTGGCGGCCAGACATTGGCGGCTGTGACCGACTCTTTGCGTACAATTGGCGTGAATTGCAAACAATTGCAACGATTTTCACTCCAGTTGGCCGCAAGGGCTGGCGAACCAGCGATCAATATATCGTTGGATTGGTTGAGATCTTATGGATCATTAAAGCGGTTATGTTTAGAGATCAATGTCGTCATCGATGAGCGACTGTTGGAACCGTTGAGACACTGCAAGAGATTAACGCATTTAGAGATCTATATAAAGAAAATAAACACAAATGTGTTGAAAGATTTGCATAAATACTTTCCACGACTTCAATACCTATTCATTCATGACTTGAATGGCGTTATAGACACCGAGTGTTTGGATCACATCTCAAGACTACCGGCGCTGCAAACGCTTGTCATTCAAAGCCATAACAATATTACTTCCAGTGATAATGATTTGAATGCTGTGTTGTCTTCGAGTCCTAAACTCAAGACAATTGAAATCCGTGTAAAAAATGTTAAGAAGTTTTATTCAAAGTAAAAATGTGTAAAATATTTAGTGTTTTATTATTAAAGTCTGAATTATGCGTTCATTTAATACATGTCTTGTATTTAATGCCTATTTGTTGCCAATTATTTGATTGGAATAAAAATGTAATATTAATCGCAATTAATGTCATTTAGAAATTTAATTAAATGTTTAAACCGTGCTTTTATTTCATACATAATTTAATACAGTTTATAAATACATTTAAATGATTACAGTTACTGTTAAATAATTTTTTATTCATTTCTGTGTTTTATTATTTCAGTATTTCTTAAGAATTTATTTCATTTAATTTTGTTATAAAAATATATTGTTTTTTAATATAGTATTTAAATTTGTAATAAATATAATTTAAATTGAATGTGAATTTAAAATCCAATTAAACACTCATTGAAAGTGTGGGCAAAAAGTGATAAAAAATGTAATGAAAATATGTGTCAATAGATGTCTCACTCGTTGTCAACACTTTGTGTTGGCTTTCATTGAATATAAATATTATCACATGTTTTGCGACAGAAATACAATTCATTCAAACAATCACTTCATTTGATCCCAAGATATGGCAAAACAGATCAAGACATCAGTTGTTAACACCGATGACGGCATTGAAGACAACACTCAACAGGTATTTGAAAAACAATTGACTGTTTATTGAGTTTTCATTGTTTTTGTTTCACATTTTAGTCAAATATTTACGCGAAGAACTCAATGGACAGATTCGGTGATGACTTTTATGGACTCATATTATCCTATCTCTCACTCGAAGATCGGTTTCAATGCGAATGTGTGTCCAAACAGTTCCAGAGGACACTCTTCGTGAGTGTTGTGGACATCACTCTTAGCGATGAATTTATACAGAAATTACTGAATGCGAAGAGAAGTGACGTTCAAATGTTGGCCACAATTGCCATAAAGTGTGCAAACATTGAGTGCATTGATTGCCGAGGAATAAGCTATGGATATGAAGAACACATTCCGGAAGTGTTGAACACATTTCGAGACAATTGCCGGCATTTAAGGGAAATATATTTGACGTCAAAAAGTGCGCAAACAATGCCATCGTTGGGACCACTGGTCACACGAATCGGTGGTATTAACTGCTATACAGACAGTGAAGCTCTCACTCATTGCCACAGATTGTCACACTTGAGAACCCAATCATTTCATGCATTGAATACACTGTTTGGCAATAATTTGCATAAATTTGAGTTGAGATCGCATTTGGGGTCTTTGAACGACCGCTGGTCTGCATTCGTGGCACAGAATCTGTCGCTCAAGTGTTTGGTTTTTTGGCGATTTTATTTTGGAAATACTATATCTTTGACCGAAATGTGCGGACAATTGTCACGATTAACACAATTACGGGAACTGACACTTGGGTTAGATTTTGACGAACTGGACGGCCAGAAGTCCGCAGCTGTGAACCAGTGTTTGCGCACAATTGGTGTGAATTGCAACGATTGTCACTCCAACTGATCTCAGTGGACACCGAACCCGTATTCCCGATATCATTGGATTCGTTGAGAGTTTATCGCCAATTAAAACGATTACATTTAACAGCGTATGCGACCGTCGATGACCTGCTGTTGGATCCGTTGAGACACTGCAAGAGATTAACGGATTTAGTGCTGTGTTTATGTCGTATGAAACCAAATGTGTTGAAAGATATTCATATAAAGTGTCCGCGACTTCAATACCTATTCTTTAATGACTGGAATAGCATTAAGTGCTGGAATAACACCGAGTGTTTGGATTACATCTCAAGACTACCGGCGCTGCAAACGCTTGTCATAGACTTCGATGACTTTGACGAAGAATCTGCTAATCTCTCGGACAAGGATTTCTCGGACAATAATTTCCCGGATCTGTTGTCCAGAAGTCCTAAACTAAAGTGCATTCAATTCATGGCAAAACTCATCAGAAAATACTTTTACCGCAAAAATGCTTTAAATGTTTAATATTTGTTACAAATAATTAAATTTTGCGAAAATAAATATTAACGCAATTAAAGTGACGATTAATGCAATTATTAATACTTAATCTATTGATAAAAATAAAGTTTTTCGTTGTTTTCTAATTATTTAATTGTATTATAAAATTGATTGAATGAATGCACTTTTGATATTTTTGGCGAGAATTTATTAATTATAATTTTGATTAAATAATCGGTTTTTAGAAACATTTTATTTAGAAATAAATATAATTAATTAAAATCTAATTAAAAATTTATTAAAAGTATTATAAAATGTACTGAAAATATGTGTCAATAGATGTCTCACTCGTTGTCAACACTTTGTGTTGGCTTTGAATTCAATGCAAATATTATCACATGTTTTGTGACAGAAATACAATTCATTCAAACAATCACTTCATTTGATTCCAAGATATGACACAAGAAGTGACACAAATAATGACATCACTCGAGACCACAGATGACGGCAATGAAGACAGCATTCAACAGGTTTTTGACAAACAATTTAATTATTTATTGAGTATTAATTGTGTTTTTCTCTTATTTATAAAATTTTAGCCAAAGATTTACGCGAAGAACTCAATGGACAGATTCGGTGATGACATGTGTGGACTCATATTATCCTATATCTCACTCGAAGACCGGTTTCGATACGAATGTGTGTCCAAACAGTTCCAGAGGACTGTCTTCGGGAGTGTTGTCTTCATTGATATCAACGACCGATTCGATGATAAATCCCAGACCTGTTTCACAGCTATGATTGAAGTGTTGGCCAAAAAGTGTCCAAACATTGAGACCATTGACTTCAGAGGAATGTTCATTGGATGCGAAGAACACTATCCGGAAGTGTTGCGATTATTTCGAGACAATTGTCATAATTTGCGAGAAGTTTACTGTTCTTTAGAGGAAAATACGGCACAAATGTATCGACATTTTGGACCACTGGTCACACAAATCGGTAATATTTATCATAAACGTAATAAACACTTAATGTATATGTCTAACCACTGATTGTCTGCCCAATAGATTGCAATAAGTTGTCCGACACTGTCGTCGACATCACTTCCGGACAACTATTGGCCAACAATTTGAAGACATTTGCGTTGAATTGCTATTCCGCCGAAGACAACGAACTATTCACTGCATTTGTGGCACACAATCAGTGCCTCAAAAGTCTAGACATTGAAAATATTTACAGCGATCTGAACGTTACTCTCCCCGAACTGGCCGTACAATTGTCACGATTAACACAATTACGGCGATTGGGTCTTTCATTGGGAATAATGAGAGGTCAAACACTTGTGGTGAACCTATGTTTGCGTACAATCGGCGAGAATTGCAAACAATTGCAACGATTGTCACTCGAGGTGTGCAACTATACGCCCGCAGTTTATGTCAATACATTGGATTCATTGCGATATTATTCCCAATTAAAACGATTGGATTTAACAATATATGTGGCCTTCGATGAGAAAATGTTGGATCTTTTGCGACACTGCAAGAGATTAACGCATTTAAAGCTGTATTTAACGCAAATGACAGCGAATGCGTTCATCAATTGTCTTAAGAATTGTCCGCGACTTCAATACCTATACACTCATGACTTCCACAACATTATGGGCGCCGAGAGTTTGGATGAGTTGTCACGACTACCGGCGCTGCAAACGCTTATCATTTTCTTCCGTCAAGACTATGATCTCATTAATAATCACTTCTGGGATCTGATGGCCAGAAGTGCTAAACTCAAGTGCATTCGGCTTCGCGTTCGCAGTGACATCAAATTTTATTACCGAAAATTTGTGACAAATGTTTTGCCAGTCAATGGTTACGCCGAGTGGTGATGATTGGTGATCAATGACCATGGTCATTTATTCTAAATTAGCGTTCATTTCATACATGTTATTACTGACAGTATTTCTCGTGAATTGGGTTTTCATATTAAAATCTGATATTTTGTAAAATTTTGCAAAACATTTTTATTTGAAATAAATATAATTATTTGAATTAAATCTGTATTTTAAACCCAATTAAACACTCATTGAAAGTGTGGGCAAAAAGTGATATAAAAGTAATGAAAATATGTGTCAATAGATGTCTAACTCGTTGTCAACACTTTTGAATGTAAATATTAGCACATGTTTTGTGACAGAAATACAATTCATTCTACAATCACTTCATTTGATCCCAAGATATGACACAAGAAGTGACACAAATGATGACATCAGTCGAGACCACAGATGACGGCAATGAAGACCACATTCAACACGTATTTCACAAACAATTTAATTATTTATTGAGTTTTAATTGTGTTTTTGTTTCTCATTAATAAAATTTTAGCCAAAGATATACGCGAAGAACTCAATGGACAGATTCGGTGATGACATGTGTGGACTCATATTATCCTATCTCTCACTCGAAGATCGGTTTCGATGCGAATGTGTGTCCAAACAGTTCCAGAGGACAGTCTTCGAGAGTGTTGTGGACATTGATATCAACGACCGATTTCATGATAAATTCAAGACCTGTTTCACAGCTATTATTGAATTGTTGGCTAAAAAGTGTCCAAACATTGAGACCATTGACTTCAGAGGAATGTTCATTGAATGCAAAAAACACATTCGAGAAATGTTGCGATTATTTCGAGACAATTGTCTTAATTTGCGTCAAATATACTGCAGTTTCGACAAAAAGATGGCACAATTGTATCAACAGTTCGGACCACTGGTCACACGAATCGGTAATATTTTTTGTAAACACTAAATAAATCCCTAACCACTGATTGTCTGCCCAATAGATTGCGATGCGTTGTCCGACACTGTCGTCGACACCACTTCCGGACAATTATTGGCCAACAATTTGAAGACATTTGAGTTTCATCGCTATTCCGCAGAAGACAGCCAACTATTGTCTTCATTCGTGGCAAACAATCAGTGCCTCAAAAGTCTAGACATTTACAAGATTTTCGTCGATCTGAACGATACTCTCCCCGAACTGGCCGTACAATTGTCACGATTAACACAATTACGGCGATTGAGACTACGGTTGGAAATGAATGGCCAGACACTTGTGGTGAACCAGTGTTTGCGTACAATCGGCGAGAATTGCAAACAATTGCAACGATTGATACTCGAAGTGTATAACGCTGTTAATGTCGAAACATTGGATTCATTGCGATATTATTGCCGATTAAAACGATTGCATTTAACTATATATGCGGTCTTCGATGAGAAAGTGTTGGATCCGTTGCGACACTGCAAGAGATTAACGCATTTAGAGCTGCATTTAAGACTGGGAGCAAATGTGTTGAAAGATTTGCATATAAAGTGTCCGCGACTTCAATACCTATCCATTCGTGGCTTAAATAACATTACGGGCGCCGAGAGTTTGGATGAGTTGTCACGACTACCGGCGCTGCAAACGGTTGTCATTTTGTTCCCTCAAGATTATGATCTCATCGACAATGACGTGTGGGATGTGTTCGCTAGAAGTGCTCGATTCAAGTCGATTCTGCTTCGCCGTCACAGTGGCGTCAAATTTTATTACCGAAAATATGCGATAAATGTTTTGCCAATTAATGGTTACGCCGATTAGTGCTCATATGACCATGGTCTATTTTGATATCTTTCTCATTTACTCTAAATTAGTTCTAATTATTATTATAATTACAATAATTAGCGTTCATTTCATACATGTTTTCATTACTGACAGTATTTTTCGTGAATTTGATTTTGATATTAAAATCTTATGTTTTGTATAATTTTGTAAAACATTTTAATTTGAAATAAATATAATCATTTAAATTAAATCTGTATTTAAAACTCAATTAAACACTCATTGAAAGTGTGGGCAAAATGTGATACAAAATGTAATGAAAATATGTGTCAATAGATGTCTCACTCGTTGTCAACACTTTGTGTTGGCTTTCATTGAATGTAAATATTTTTGTGACATTTATTGCGTTTCATAACAAAAACACAATTCATTCAAACAATCACTTCATTTGATCCCAAGATATGGCACAACAGATGAAACACTTGAAGACATCACTCGAGACCAGAGATGAAGACAACATTCAACAGGTATTTGACAAACAATAGACTGTTTATTGAGTTTTAATTGTTTTTGTCCCACATTTTAGGCGAAGAACTCAATGGACAGATTCGGTGATGACTTGTATGGACTTTTGTTGTCTTACTTTCCACTCGAAGACAAATTCCGATACGAATGTGTGTCCAAACAGTTCCAGAGGACAGTCTTCGTGAGTGCTGTGGACATCACTCTTAGCGACGGATTTATGTATAAATTCCTAAAAGAGAAGACAATTAATACCCAATTGTTGGCCACAATTGCCATAAAGTGTCGAAACTTTCAGACCATTGACTGCAGAGGAATAGGCACTGAATACGAGAAACGTATTCCCGAAGTGTTGGGCATATTTCGAGACAATTGTCTTAATTTGCGGGAAATTTACTGCAATTTACGTGTGAGAAGTCAAATGATGTTAACATTCGGACCTCTGGTCACACGAATCTATTCTATGGATCCGTTTAGGAAACAATCACTCATTCATTGCCACCGATTGTCTCATTTAAGGGTCAATTCCTTGTCGGATGTCTTTGACAAGACTTGCGGCCGACTATTGGCGAAGAATTTACACAAATTTACATTTTTTTGCGATTCAAACAATGATAAGAAACTATTGTCTGAATTCTTGGCACACAATCAGTCCCTCAAAAGTCTTGAGGTAATAGATATAAGATATAAAAGTGCGGACACTTTACCCGTAATGTGCGGACAATTGTCACGATTACCGCAATTACGGGAACTGAAACTCAGTCTAATGAGTGATCAAAAGTCATTGTCTGAGTCTTTGCGTATAATTGGCTTAAACTGCAAACAATTGCAACGATTGTCACTCATGTTCGCCACAACTGATTCCGAACTCAATGGCCAGACATTGGATTCATTGAGAGTTTATTCCCGATTAAAACGATTGGATTTATATTTCTACGACGGAATCGATGGGGAAGTGTTGGAACCGTTGAAACTCTGCCACCGATTAACACATTTAACACTCAATACATGGGAATTAAGTGCCAATTTTGTGGTCGATTGTGACCAACATTGGCCGCGACTGCAATACCTGTGCCTCAATATTACTGAACTGACCGGCGATTGTTTGTCACACATCTCAAGACTACCGGCGCTGCAAACACTGGTCATTGACTTCGAAGAATGTGACGACAACTCTGAAGACTCTGAAGGCTGTGGCGAAGAATCTAATGATCTCTCGGATAATAAATACTCGGATCTGTTGTCCAGAAGTCCTAAACTCAAGAACATTACAATCAATGGACAGAATATCCCGACGTCTTATTGCCCTTAAAATGAGTTAAATGTTTAATAAACTATAAAAACCGATGAATTTATTTAATATATGTTTACGCTTTAATTACATGAGTCAAGAAATCAGTCAAGTCATGAATCATGACTCATACATTATTTTTATTACTAATTAAATATTATATTAATATTAATCATGTTTAACGAGTTATAATTGTTTTCAATTAGCATAATTGTATTTTTAATTTATATAATCTAGTCTAACTATAAATATAATTATTTATTTGCTAACTTAATGCGTTCAAAACGTTCTAGCCTTTTTTGTTGTTATAAATGCTATATAAATGTTATTAAAATAAAATATAATTATTAATTTATATTAATTGCTAAATAAATATTAAAATTCAATTAAACACTCATTGAAAGTGTGGGCAAAAAGTGATGAAAAATGTTAGACTTTATGTTTGGTTGTATTGATTGGTAGGGTTCACGGAAGGTAAGGCACACTCAAAAATTACGGTCGTTATTACGTAATTATTACGGTAATTTATTGATCAGGTCATTTAAGGAAGGTCGCTTTTATAATTACCATAGTAACGAAGGAAATGGTAGGGTTCACGGAAGGTAAGGCACACTCAAAAATTACGGTCGTTATTACGTAATTATTACGGTAATTTATTGATCAGGTCATTTAAGGAAGGTCGCTTTTATAATTACCATAGTAACGAAGGAAAATTTCATCATGACAATAACTTAAATGTGAGTGCGGTAGATTGCTCACTCGAAAAAATCTTCATTAGACGGGCATTATCAATGGACCCGTATAATGGACGCTGGATGTTTAGAGATCCATTCAGCGAAAGCGCTTGGGATAACATTGGTGTTATGTATAAAGCTGATCAGAATATGTATTTATTCTTGGTCAAATATGTTATATAATATTTATTTAAAATGATCAAATATGTGCTCATATATTTACTAAAAAGGGGTCAAATATTTATTTAAATATTTATTTAT